AGAAATATATTAGTAGAGGTACTTTCATCTGATTCTTTTACTTTAAAAATATGGCTGCTAGTACATTTAAAAATACATATGCAACTTGCATTTTTGATTCATGTTATATTTCTATTGGACAACTTTAGCTCTGATGTTTGTTTAAAATGTTGATACATGGGTGGAGATGGTGTCATACACCTGTAATCCCAGCTGATCAGGAGACTGAGGCAGGAGGATCACAAGTTCAAGTACAGCTTCCACAATTCAGTGAAACTGTCTCAAAATAAAAAATTAAAAGGGCTGGAACTGTAGCTCAATGGTAAAACACCCTTGGGTCCAATCCCCATTACTGAAAAGTAAAATATTGATTCTTGTGTCCCAGAAAGATTCTGCTTTGGTTGGAACCCCAAAATCTCATAATCTTTTAAGTTTATGGGGTTTAAACTGGTAAATTAGGGTAGGGAATCATTGTTTTATACACTTTTTAACCTAAAAAAATTATTTATGTATTTTCATTTGTACCTCAACTTGGTGCATTTGCATTTTTTAAATTTCATTTATTCAAATTTGTTATATATGGCAGCAGATGCAATTCATTTCATATTATACAAATAGAGCACAATTTTTCATGTCTCTGCACAAAGTACAATCATACCATTGGTGTTTTCATACATGTACTTAGGGTAATGATGTCTGTCTTATTCCACTGTCTTTCCTACCCCCATGGTCCCTCGATTCCCCTCTCTTGCCTTTGCCCTATTTAAAGTTCATCTATTCCTCCCATTCTCACTATGAATCAGTATCCTTATATCAGAGAGAACATTCAGCATTCAGGCATTCAGTTTTGGGAGATTGGCTTATTTCATTTAGCATTATATTCTCCAACTTTATGCATTTACCTGCAAATGCCATGATTTTATTCTCTTTTAATGCTGAGTTCATTGTGTATATATGCCACATTTCCTTTATTCATTAATCTACTGAAGGGTATCTAGGTTGGTTCCACAATTTAGGTATTGTGAATTTAGCTGCTATAAACATTGATATGGCTGTGACCCTGTAATATACTGTTTTGAAGTCCTTTGGGTATAGACCGAGGGGGATAGCTGGGTCAAATGGTGGTTCCTTTCCCAGTTTTCCAAGGAATCTCTTATACTGCTTTCCATATTGGCTGCACCAACTTGCAGCCCCACCAGCAATGTATGAGTGTGCCTTTTTCCCCACATCCTCACCAACACTTATTAGGTGCAAATCTCCATCATGTCGGATTAGGCCCAACTTCCTTAATAAGACTCCTATAGTGCAAGAATTAAAATCAAGAATCAATAAATGGGATGGATACAAACTAAAAAGCTTCTCAACAAAAGAAACAATCAGTGAAGTGAATAGAGAGCCTACAGAATGAGAGCAAATTTTTACCACACCTACATCAGGTAGAGCACTAATCTCTAAGCTATATAAAGAACCCAAAAATCTTAACACCAAAAAAAAAATCAATAAATGTTTTATTCAACTTGACCAGATGTTGGTGATAGGCTTCAACACAGCCAAGATTGAAAGATAACAAATCCAATATTGATTCTCAATATCAATTCTGTTATAATTGCCATCCATTATAGTTATGTTGGTGTTTTTAATTCACAAAACACTTTATAATCACAACATATAGACTTTTTATATAACTAAAGGTAAGGCAATTAAGCAAGTATCTATCACCAATTTAAGTATGCTTAATCTTTGATCCTTACAAAATAATCTTGCATTAACATTAAACAGAGACGAGTGGTGGGAGGGTAAGGGAGAGAGAAGGGAAATTGCATGGAAATGGAAGGAGACCCTCATTGTTACACAAAATTACATATAAGAGGTTGTGAGGGGAAAGGGGGAAAAAAACAAGGGAGAGAATTGAACAACAGCAGATGGGGTAGAGAGGGAAGATGGGAGGGGAGGAGAGGGGGGATAGTTGGGGATAGGAAAGGTAGCAGAATACAACAGTCACTAATATGGCATTATGTAAAAATGTGGATGTGTAACCGATGTGATTCTGTAATTTGTATTTGGGGTAAAAATGGGAGTTCATAACCCACTTGAATCAAATATATGAAAGATGATATGTTATGAGATTTGTAATGTTTTGAACATCCAATAAAAAATAATAATAATCTTGCAGGTATGTTGTCACAAGTTCTATATATTTATAATTCACCTGTGTGCTGTTTGAAATTTTGAAAGATTGAAATTGATGAAATAATTTATGCTATATCCAACTACATATTATGCAGGCTATAAAGAAAAATAAGGTATTCTATATGTACTGATAGGGAAAGATATATGTGATGTTTACAAGAAGAAAAAGCAAGTTGCAGAAGAGTATATAGATCCCCTTTGTATGTGAAAAAATATGTACACATAGTTATACATTGTGGTTACAACTGGTATATAGAACTGGGAAAAATATTCCCATGGATGTGGAAAGGAGATCTTACTTTGCTTTTATATCTTTCTGTGCTGTTTTAGTTAAAAAAAAAAAAAACAACTATGAACAATATGCAAACTTACATTGTACATTACAAATAATATACAAACACAATATAAAGCCCAGCCAAGTAAATACTTCATCATTTAGGTTCCAGTTAGGGAAATTTGCTTTTTACTATTACCTTTTAATCTGAAGTTTGCCTTTCATTCTAGCTTTCTGAATAACCATCAAATATATTAATTTAATCATTCACCAGTAATTACCGAAAACCTATTTCACACTGGTCACTGTTCTAAACCAGAAAACTGAACTGCAGTGCACAAACCAGATGTGCTCCTCACACCACTCAAACGCACACCTTAAGAGTTTTAACCAGTAAGAAGTGCTATGAAATAAAGACCTGAATATCTTCCTAAGGTTGGGGGGGGGGGTTGTTTGTTTTTGTTTTGTTTGCGGAGCTGGGAATCCAATCCAGGGCCTCATGCCCTATGCTCCCAAGCTGGTCTGGAACTCCTGGTCAGAAGAAATCATCCTTCCTCGAATGTTCAAATGTTGTACATGCACACACACATATTCACTCATACATGCTAATTATGGGAAGCATTGCTTTAGAACTTTTGTCGTTTGTGTTAAGTATTCAGGATACTTCTCAAATTAACCTTGCTCCTCAACTCCCTATGACTAATTTGGTATAAGAAACTAAAAAATAGCAAAGCAATTTAGTTGTGTGACCTTGGAAAAATTACTTAGCTGCTTTCGGTCTCAGTTTCCTCTATAAAATGGAGTATTTAAGCTGAGGTTTGCTGTCTCAGCAAGCCTTCTAGGGACTGGTTACAGTATAACAGCAGCACAAACTGGAGTGGGATGCGTTTAGATAAGGGTGGGCGCTCGCGCCAGCGTTGCGACTCAGCTGTGTCGCGTGCCACACTACTGGGCGGCCCTCAGGAGAGGCGCGGCTTTCTCGCTGTGGATGGGAGGACTAACGCGGCGCCTTCAGTGTTTTCACCGAGCATTTCTCCCCTTTCCGAGAGTGTGGTAGCCAGTGCTCGCCAGCTCCTTCAGCGACCGCCGCTGGGTGCCAACTTTCGCACGGCGCCCCCTAGCCAGCTCGCATTCTCCAGTTGGTGCCAAAGTGAAGCTGATCTACGCTGTAAAACTTAAGTTCATTCCCGTACCCAGTCTGTGCAGGTCGAACTTGGCGCGAGGCAGGCGATGGCCTCGCCTCCAACTGCGGCTCGTAGTTTGAATTCTGGCGCCACTCCCGCGCCACGTAGGGCCGAGTCGCCCGCCTGACTCGGAAGCGACGGACCACTGCGCGCCTACGGGTGCGCGCCAGGAGATGAACGGGCACGCGGCGGTGGGCGGTGCGCGCACCACGCCCAGGAGCGGCCGCCGGAAAAAAAAGAGCCGCCGCGCGCGCTCCCGCTCGATCGCCTCCGGAAGAGGCCACGCCCCCATCATCTCCCACATCCAATAGGTGCGGGAGGGAGGGGCGGCCTCGGTCTGATTCAGGAGAGATTATATAAGGAGCTGCGCGGGAGCTGCCTCCTTCTTTTTCGGGGAGACGGCGGACCTGTTGTTTGGTATGTGTGCGAATGGGTGTCACACGCCAGTACCGAGGCTCCGTGTGTAGTTGGGACTGGCGTACTTTGAAGCGATCTCGGAGCCTTGGTCCGAGAGTGCTAGTTGTTGGAAGTTTGCACATGCGGAACGCGCCGCCAGGTCGCCACGTGCCTTGAATAGAGTCGGGGAGACAACATACTGAAGGGCCTATGGCGCCACGAGCGGAGGTTTTCCGGCTTAGGCCCAGGGCAGGCCTGAGCCTGAGCGTCGACTGGGAAGTCACCTGAGGATTTACAAAAGGTACAAAAGTGTATTTATGGATACTGTGTACACGTGTAAGGGATGATGAGGTTAATTTAAGAACAAGGGGTGTGGGCTGGGAATATTCGTTACTTGGTACAGGGCTTCCCTGGCTTGCGCAAGAAAGGCCCTAGCTAGGTTCAATCCCCAGCACCACGAAAAAAAAAAAAGAATCAAGGGGCACTTATTAACATGGTGAATGCTTTTTACTTTCCCCAGATTATTTCAACATGAACAGCCCCAGCTCTTTATGGACCTTGGTGCTGCTTGAACCCCAGGCGGCGCTGTATGCAGTACGATTTAACGAGTGGGAGAGAATTAACTGCAGGAAAAAAAATTGAAACGTGCCATTCTGAGAATGTTCGATTGCAAGCATCGATCCCCCTCAGTAATGATGGCGCTAGCTTTCAGTGGTCTATCGGAGCGGCTACATGGACATAAAAAGGTAAGGGTTACTGAGCTTATTTTTCAAACCAAAGCTGACGTTTTTTATTTACTGTAATAGAAAATGGTGTGTAACCATTTAAAATTTTTTTTTTTGGTAGATGCATAAGAAAATCCCAAAACATGTCACGGAATGTTTAGCACTAAGAGAATTACTTGCTTAAAACCGGACAGTCAACACTTGGTATGTATTGGCCTAGTACTTTATAGATAATATATGTATGATTGGTCAAATCAGTGATGAAACCTATCCCGAAGCTGATTACCTGAAGAAAATCATGTACGGATTCGGCTTCTGAGATGAAGACCAATAGCTGTAGATGAAATGTGTTAATTTTTTGTTCCATTCATTCACCTTAAATCAGATATATTTGTTTTTCTGCCAACAGTGATTGTGACTGTCTGCCCACTCAGGCAAGTTTGCTGTAAAGTTCATAGGACAGAACAATTTCTGTAAGTGCAGATTTTTTTCTTAAACAATATTGTGTCCTTGGTCTTGGTCTTATCTATGATGATCCTATCCCGAAACTGAACTCCTGTTGAAAAAAACTTAATTACGGATCTGGCTTCTGAGATAAACCATTGAGGACAAAGTTTTTTAATACTATTAAATAAGCTTTTAATGTTGATCATCTTGTAATTTTTGTTTTTCCTGTTCTAGGACTAGTACCACAAAGTCTCCTTTTTCTACTATGAAAACCTGGTGATAAGAATAATCCAGAAAAAGCAGACATGAAGAGAAAACAGTTTGGGATTCTATTTTTTTTTAACCATAGCTAAACCATGAACTAATGGATTTTTAACAGAAAGGTCTTGAGCTTTGCATAATTAGCCTTGTCAAATTATTCCTCAGTGTTTTGCCATTAATCACCTCTTTTGAATTTAAGATACATAATTGTAATTAAAACTGAGTCAAAGTTGACACTGCCTTATAATTTAGTTTCTTATAGAGATGTCTGGTTATTGATCACAATAACTGGTTAATATAACAATAAAGTTTTTTATTAACCCATTTGAGTCCCAAGTTTTCAATTCTGAAACTATTCCCATGAAATTGACACTGGCATGTTAAAATAGTTGGGAAATCTTTTAAAAAAAGGTTTATATATATTAATATTCTATAAGTTTTCATCCCTGAGAAATGACAAAATGGCTAGACCATATCTTAAGGAACAGTACCTGATAATTACTATATAATGGTTATGAACCTTTCCCTATCCTGTCCAGCACCCTATTAGTCACTGCATATGAGATAATAAAACATTAGTCTCTAATTGGCATATTTCACTTAACATACTTAGCTAGTTCCATGTTGTCACAAATGACTGGAATTCATTCTTTTCACAGCCAAATAGTGTTCCATTGTGTATATGTGCCACATTTCCTTTATCCAATCACCCATCCATGGACACCTAAGATGATTCATTGTAGGTATCCACAGATGGTGAACAGCACTGAAATAAGCAAGTACAGACGTCTGACATGCTGCTTTTGATTCCTATGTATATATGCCCACAAGTGGGGATTATTGGATCACATGGTACGATGGAGGTTTCATACCTTTTTTCCATCATGGATGTACTGATGATGCACATTCCCTCAATTATGTCTGAGAGTTCCTCTTCCCAATCCTTGCCAGCATTTGCTATTCTGTCTTTTTGCTAAAAGCCATTCTAACTTGAGTGAGATGATA